ATTTTGCTTGAACTCCTCCAATATTTTTACCATTGTTGATGCACCATCAAAACATACTGAAAGTACTGAAGTCCATTGCAACCCTAATTCAATAGTTAGAATGTCATCTATAGTTTGAAAAATTGAATTAGCAGTAACATAAATCATCCTTTTTAATGTTATAAAACTTTCAACTCGCCAATTAGTCGCAGAATCAAAATAACAAACAACTATTGACAATTGTTCTTCATGTCCAATGTCACTTGTTTTGTCAGCAATAATTGAAACATAAGAATTTTGTAAATTACTCTGAATTTTTTTCAATAAAACTTTATGAATTGAAAATATTATGTAATTTTGAATTCTGTTGCTAATATATTGAGCATTTTTAGGTTCAAAATTTACATAGTTTTTCAAAACATCATCATATTTAACTAATAAGTTGACTAATTCTCTGAAGAGCCTTGCTGGTGACTATCATTTTTTTCGTTATGGTCACAAAATGGTCGTCCTCCTTTAGTAAGACATATTGTAATATTTATTAATCGTTCCATAATTTAACGATTATTAGACTGCTCAATCTCACGTTTTTGCACAACTAATTTCATGTTAGAATCTATTATTTCATCAATAGATTTAGAATTTGAAAATTCAGATAATGATTTAGCGCTGTTAATATGAGCTTTTGATTGTTGATGTTTTTTGAACCTATCTATAGCTCTATACCAATTTTTAAAACCAATTTTAGAAAAAACATATTCTAATTAGTTGAGTTTCCATCATTACCAGAAAAACAGCGACAAGGAAAACAAAATACTGTGTAAGCTACAATACTATATTCAAGCCATTTGAATTATTTCATCATCAAATATTAGGTATAAATTATTAAGTACCTACCTATTATTATTACTATTTTATTATTTTTATTTAATTTTATAAATTATATTAATTATTACCAGTAGATTCTGTAAGCTTCTTATTTGATGAGTTGTGTGTATCATTTTTTAATTTGAAAAAATTATACATTTTGGTACATTTTTCTCCTAATGATTCCAACAGTTTCATTTTTTGCCCTTGGATCTTTTCTGCGCCACCTTTATGTTAATCAAATTTATGATTAAATAGATTAGAAAGATAGATAGAAAAAAATACAAAGTAAAACCATTAGCATAATATAATGAAAATAAAAACCTTAGATAAAAACTGAACATTTTAAATTTTGGTTGATGAAAATATAATATGAAAAAATGGTTTGAGACAACTTACTTTTCGTAAACAATAATTAAGCACTTCAAATTACAGTATTATGATGTTATTATGCTATTAACTTACTAACTTCAAACATTAGTCAAGTAATGTGTATTTAACAATTTTAGTATTTGTAAATTATTCACAAGGTTTTTTGACATGGAACTTCAAGTTATCAAAAATTGATTAATGTTAACTTAATTAAATGTCATTTTTTAGTGATTATATAGCTAAAACATTTATGATTTTAAATATAATAAATATAATTTAAATAAGCTGTACCTGTTTTCAAGTTTTCTAATCCACTCGTAACTTGTTCAACCTTAATAAAATAAAATAAATAAATATTTTTAAATTATATTGAATTCAGAAATATATTTCTTACATTTTGTGGTCTAAATTGTTGTTGTGGATTTAATTGATCTGGTATATTTGGCTGTGGCCTTGATGGCGGTGCCTGTGTTGTATGAAATGTTAGTGCTTGTTCTCGATAAGAGGAAGGTATTTGTGGTAGTCCTTGATTAAGAGGAGGTCCTCGAGGTCGAGATTGTCCTTGATTGGGGGGAGGTGCTTGTAGTTGTGCTTGATGACGAAGAGGTCCTCGAGATTGTCCTTGATTAGGGGGTGGTACTTGTGATTGCCCACGAGCCCGGCCTCKAGGATGCCTTGGTGGATTAGGATCCATAGATAATCTTTTAAACTATTTATAAACATAACATTTTCATAACATAAAAATGTAATACAATTCTGAAGATAATTAAAGATTCTTTTCTTAACATTTAATAATTCATTTAGGTAAATTAGAATTATATTATTCAAAATATTCAAATATTTTATTCTAATTAACATGATAAACATTTATTCAAAACAAACGTTCATAGAGATGAATTTATTATTGAATTGAATTCAACATTATGTTCATTTAATTTAAATAATATGTGTTTTTACAAATATTATATTTAATACATA